TGTCGAAACGTTTACAAAACACTGCATATGAGCCCCATTCCCTTAAAAACACTCCCAGTTACGAAACAATTGTGATACAAACAATTTGTATGCACATTGACATTGCTTACTGATCGCACTTATCTTGCCTTAACTGGTTGGATGAATCGCACTTATCTTGTCTTAACTGGTTGGATGAATCGCACTTATCTTGCCTTAACTGGTTGGATGAATCGCACTTATCTTGTCTTAACTGGTTGGATGAATCGCACTTATCTTACCTTAACTGGTTGGATGAATCGCACTTATCTTGCCTTAACTGGTTGGATGAATCGCACTTATCTTGTCTTAACTGATTGGATGAATCGCACTTATCTTGCCTTAACTGGTTGGATGAATCGCACTTATCTTACCTTAACTGGTTGGATGAATCGCACTTATCTTACCTTAACTGGTTGGATGAATCGCACTTATCTTGTCTTAACTGGTTGGATGAATCGCACTTATCTTACCTTAACTGGTTGGATGAATCGCACTTATCTTGCCTTAACTGGTTCGATGAATCGCACTTATCTTGTCTTAACTGGTTGGATGAATCGCACTTATCTTGCCTTAACTGGTTGAATGAATCGCACTTATCTTACCTTAACTGGTTGGATGAATCGCACTTATCTTGTCTTAACTGGTTGGATGAATCGCACTTATCTTACCTTAACTGGTTGGATGAATCGCACTTATCTTGCCTTAACTGGTTGGATGAATCACGCAATCTCTTTCCTTGAGTACGGTTCGATGTACGCCTTAACTGATTTTACGAACTTCGCGTGTCTTTCGTATCGGCAGAAATGATCGAAGCGGGTTATTCTCCATTTGTTGCAGTAATCGCTACTATTGTACTGATCTCTCATAATGACGTTCAGTCGCGTTATACACATTCATGTAATCACACGTACGCTGTCTATTTTCAATTTCGTCGATACGAATTATCACAATTGTTTCGTAACTGGGAGTGTTTTTAAGGGAATGGTGCTCATATGCAGTGTTTTGTAAACGTTTCGACATCAGCTACAAGAATCTGTAACAAAAACTGACGAGTTCCATTTGAAATTTTTTACGTTATTTGTATGCAGCTCGTAAGGGTCATTTCAAGGTCATGCCGTCTATGCCACATAATACATCTTTTCATACTATAAAAATTATGTCTAAGACATTTTGTCGAAAAATGAATAGTTTCGGAAATAATTGTTTGCTTTCATACTTTTTCCCCATCCTGTATATATATATATATATATATATATATATATATACATATATATAGTATATATATATATGTATGTATGTATATATATTTTATATCTTTGTAACAACAGTGTGGTAAATATAAATATGTATATATAAATAATATATTTATTATATATATATATATATTGTATATTGCGACGCTTCTTCAATTCAATTTAAATGATTCGCGATACTCCTCGAGGTGTTGAAGGGGAGCGTGCGCGGGGGAGCGAAAACGCCGTCAAAAAAAAATAGCGAAATTAATGTACTCACGCTCTGAGGAACAGGGATGAAGGACGTTCTTGCGCGAGTTGCAGCGGAGCGGAGGCCGTTTCGATATCTCGATAGGTTGGGCGCCAGATTCAGTCTTTCACGCATCAGTTTTCCACGAAACTACAAAGAACGCGAAAAATAATAGCCTGCTTCGCCACGGGCCGACTAGCTCGCCTAACGGTAGAGGGGAGGGGTTTTGGAAGAAAGGCAATTGATTATGCGAGACTTCACTAATTCAAAATGCGACAGACACAAAACGGGTATCGACAATCACGAGAAACTAACACTCAAATAAATTACGCGATTTTAACAAAGAAATGTAACAATGTTATTAATAGAGAAATAATATAAAAAAAAAATATATAAAACTAAACTTGAATAACAGATCAGTTTGAAAACGACGGTTCACAATAAATTCAAGAAAATACGAAAACGAAATACACAATCAAATTAATCTTGGCACGAATAATAAGACGTTATTCAAAGCAAGTGTTCGCTTGAAATCGACAACCGAAAACGAGAGCGCTAACATATTCTTGTTGTTTATCCGAGCTTGTTTTTATGGTCGGAGTTTGCGGGACGGAACGATATTTCTCAAAAGACAAAAGATTTTCGGCACGAAAATATTCGCGGATAATATTCACTCAAAAGGTATCGTAATTTTGACAACCAAATCGACGATTTATCGCTACTAACTTTTCTTCACAATTTCCCAATTCGCAAGTTTAAACGTCAACTTAATAGCTCGACAGCCTAATTAACCAGAGATCGGAAATAACTAATAGTTTTGCGAAGACGGATCTCGTATGCGACAGGCGAACGATATTTTCGATATTCGATAGCCGACGGCGGCCGGAGATTTTCCTCTGCCGGCATTTCGCCTCTTTCTTCCGCGCAAGCCGCTCAAATTTCACTCTCGGTCGTACCTTGGCGATTATTTCGCACCACGACAAATTCGACAGACACAGATTATCATTTATTACGCTCTACTCGACGGCGTAATAAGCGCGACAAAGACGCAAATAATCTATTAGCATTTATTACGTTCTATTCGACGGCGTAATAAGCGCGACAAAGACGCAAATACTCTAACGCACACAATACAATAAAATACCATAAACGCTCACACGCACTCTTAACAATCGACGACGACATACACGAAATCCGACACAAAAATCGCCCTGAGATAATTTACGGGAATATTTCACGCGGCAGCGACCCGACACGACGACACGGGCGGCGTGTGCTTTTCGCGATCCTTCGCGCACGCGGTCGATATTCGGCGATAGATAGCTACGCGTAATGAATACCCCGAGACCTGGAGAGAGAAGAACGTTACCTTATCAATTAATGCCTACAATACGATTGTCCGCTCTTCCTCGGTCGCTTGCCTCCGATCGCCCCAAAATTCACTAAAATCTCGCTGGCTCGATCTTGAGTCTGAGCGGTCGTGAAACACGAAAATGGCGACGGCGGCAGAACAGCCGGCCGGCGGATCAAATCGCGTATATGGCTCACAAATAAAAGATGAGTAACCTCATCGATACTTCTCCCTACGCTGGGGATGATCCTCGGCCTCGTCCTTTGCGGTTGTCTCGATAGCGGCGACGATACACGACAAAGAGTTCACAAAACGACAACGACTATAACTGCGACTTATTAAGTCGAGCTCCCGCACCAGAATGATCCCTGGATCCTTACATCCCGGGTCGATAGCGGCGTCAATGACCGCATAGAGGGGTACGCAGCCCCGCGGCCAATCATATCGCGGCACGCGAGAGATCCTGGCGCCTCGTGAAATGCGAGGTATTTAGGCGCCTGGTGCGAAACGGCCTCACATCAAAATTTCGCTGTCGCGGGCTCATTTTCAATGGCCGGTGGAAGCTCAGCTATCGTCCTTGCCCCTCTGCGGGGGAGATAGCGCCGATTAGCTCTTTGTCCGGTCCTGTCAGAAAGGAACGAGATTGCCTCCTTGGCGTCTGTTGCTTGATCTTCCGAGCGCTATTTCTCCCGCTGTCGGTCGCTGTTAGGCGCCATGTCGCCGGTCGCCCGCAATCCCTTGCTGCCCTCTCGCCCTCCGCATCTTTTCCGGCGGATTGCCCGAAATTTGCTCGATACAATAAAAGAAATGACAATTATAATTGATAAATGCAACAAAAATAACAATAATGCTCGTCTCTCCGGGGAGCTCGATATTGTTCTCCCGGTGTAGATTCTGGCGCGGCCGCTCGGCCCGCGCTCCGTTAAAAATATCGGGGCGGATGGACGTGCGACAGGATGGCAACGTCACACCCCCCCACGCCAGGAGAGAACATATCGGTTTCGGTCACCCATAGCCACTAATCGGACGCTATCTGCGTCCGCTCGTACACGTTCGGGCGACCAAAGTCCCCGGAGCCGAGGAAGACACGAACACAAATAGTAACACAAAAAATTTACCGCAACTTCTCACTAACAAAAAAAAACAACGTTAAGCGACTAGCCGCTGTCCATGATTCTGGCTCGCGGGGTCGTCTCTTCGCGGTCCCGCTGATTACGAGTCTTCGCGAACGACGATCGCGACGCCACACGCTAACGCAACTAAAATGGATTGCGGCACGGAAAAGAAAAGGAAAACTATAAACTCAGAAACAGGAAGCAGCAGAAATCTATTTATTCTCTCTCGCGATATTACATAATATTTGGTCCACGGGAACGACAACCAACGAAAGAGGAGAGAGAAAAGAAAAAGAAAAGAGAAAGAAAGAGAGAAAAATAAAAAAAAACTTTGGATGCGCGGAATAAACGACAGCATTAATATGGTCTCGGCCGAAGGTTATCCCTTGCTCGGCGGCCTCTAGGGGAATCTGGCCCTTGGTGGCTTACTCCTTTTTTATATGAGCCCTGCGCCAACCATCCGGCGCGGCAATTTGGGCAAGACTTGACGGTCACTACCGGTGTGCCACATCTAAAGCAGTATATATATATCTTCTTCTCTTCCCTCGGACACTCTCGGGCCAAATGATTATGGGAGCCACAATTCCAGCAGCCCTCCGGTGGACTTAAGGACTCTGGCGATGGAGGTCCGGCGGGAGGCTTCGGCCACTCCCAGCGGGTAGGAGAATTCTCTCGCTCCCAGGGGTTATCCCAGGGAAATTCCTTCTTTATGATCTGCCGATTCTCCGGGAACGTGGAGTCTGGTTCGGGATCCCTCGGGGTTACCTGGACGGCCACTTCGCTGCCCATCTCCACGGCGCGTTGGGTACTCGCGTCCCGGGTCGTGACGACAGCCTGCAGGCCAGCTTCGAGCTGCGCCGGGAATTCGCGCACCACCGCGCCTTGTGTGGTGACGCGGCTCTCCATGACGTGCCTCATTTCGTCAGCCATTGCCGTCCAGAATCCCGGACGTAACTCATCGACAGCTTCGATGACATCGCGGTATGTTTCGCGAAATTCTTTCGACATCCTTCCTGTTATCGGTTAGTATTTTAGTTGTCTGGGAGATTAGGTGGAACGTTATATGATTTCAGGTCCTTTATATGTACTTTGCCTATTGATCTCTGAGCGCTATCATGTAATTCGTACACTACCGGCGTCAACATTTTCGCGATAGTAAACGGATCGTGGTACTTAGTCGCTAATTTCGCCGAAATATTCTGAGCGGCTGACGACAGTACATGCTGCCGCTTCAGAACTTGCTCGCCTATCGCAAAACGGTGATCTCGTCTTCGCAAATTGTAATAATGCGTCTGTTTACTATGCGCAGCCTCTAAATTTTCTACTACCCAATTCCGTAAAGCCTGAATTCTTTCTATGCGCTCTTTCCAATTCGCGGGATTCGTCTCCGCGACCTCGACGGCTGGCTGCTGCCTCCCACGCACGGTGTTAACCGGCGGTGGTTCTCTGCCGAAATTCAAAAATGCTGGAGTAGCTTGTAAAGAAGTATGATACGTCGTATTATAAGCGAATCGGAACTCAGCCAAGTGTATATCCCATTCACGGTGATCATTCTCGAGAAATGCCGTAATCATAGTTTTGAGTATCCTATTGACTCGCTCTACCGGATTAGCCTGCGGATGGTACGGAGGTACCGTAGAGTGAACTATGCCGTGTTCGTCCGCAAACGCCTGCAATTCGCGATTGATAAATTCCGTGCCGTTGTCCGTCAAGAGTACTCGCGGCGCGCCCTAACGATTCACGATTAATTCATTCAATTGTTCGCGGATCTTTTTGCCCGTTGCTTTCCGAAGCGGACTGCATTCAATCCATTTAGTAAATAGATCTTGTATTACTAGAATATATGCGTTACCGCTTTTACTCGGCGGAAAAGAACCCATAATATCCGCTGCTACTACCGTCCACGGAGTTTCAACAACTCGGCGTCCCATCAAACCCATCGGCACATTTTGCTCTACCTTCGTTCTTTGACAAATGTCACAATGTCGAACATAATTGGCGATCTCCTTAAACATACGCGGCCAGAAATATCGCGTCGCTACACGCTGATATGTTTTCTCGACTTCTAAATGACCCGATTGCGGAACATCGTGGGCCTCGTTAATAACGTTCGCGCGCGCTTCTTTAGGAAGTACTAGCTTCCACTGCTCGAGATCGTTGACAACCTGCGATACGACAGCGTTCGGCTTTCAAAAATAAAGTTGGTCGTTTTCAATTTTCCAATCGGAATTTTTACGCGGCTCATTCTCCACGTCTCGAATGCGTGCATCGTACCAAGTGTCTCCGGTAATTGCGACAGCACATAATTCGTCGGTAGTCTCGTACGCGACAACGCGTCAGGAACATGATGTAATGCTCCTTTCCGATCGTATAATCGTACTCTAATAATTCTAGAGCCCATCGTGCTAAACGGCCTGTAGGATTTTTTAAATTATGTAACCATCGTAGGCTGCTATGATCTGTGATGACTTTAAAATTGTATCCTTCAAGATACGGTCTAAACTTTTTAATCGACCAGACGACAGCCAAACATTCCTGCTCGGTCGTAGAGTATTCCTTTTCGGCCTCCGACAGCGCTCTACTCGCGAACGCGATTACATGTTCCACGCCTTCCGATTCCTGTGTCAAAACTGCTCCTAAACCAACCGAACTAGCGTCCGTTTGCAGCGTAAACGGCAGTTCGAAATTCGGACACGACAGCGTAGGCGGCGACGTAATGCACGATTTAATTGATTCGAATGCAGATTTTTGTTCATCCCCCCACTCCCAAGAGAAATTCTTCCGGAGGAAACGAGTTAGCGGTTCTAAACGCGTTGCACATTGCGGTATAAATCGGCGATACAAAGACGCCATCCCTATAAAACGTCGTAACTGTTTGATATTTTTCGGTGGCGGATATTCGACAATCGGTGCGGTCTTGTCAGGATCTACTTTAAGCCCTTCTTGCTAGATTAGAAATCCAAGATATTTTACCTGAGGCCGACAGAATTTACTCTTTTCAGGATTTATCGTAAGGCCTGCCTCTCTAATTCGATTCAATACGCGTTTTAGCCAAGTCAGATGTTCTTCAAAAGTACGCATCCCGACAACAATATCGTCTAGGTAGGCGAAAGCATGAGAGGTTCCATTTCCGGGCCTATAAGCCTATCAAGCAAACGTTGAAATGTCGCGGGGGCACCGGTGAGGCCATACGGCATTCGGGTGAAATGAAATAACCCTTTACCCGGTATTGTAAACGCCGTTAATTCGCGACTGTTTCTCTCAAGCGGAATCTAGAAATATGCTTGGCTTAAATCGATAATCGAAATATAACTGGCTGATCTCAATTTATCGAGGATTGCGTTCATGTATGGTAATGGGTACGCATCCTTCTTCGAAACGCTGTTCAACTTCCTAAAATCGAGACAAAATCGATAGCTGCCGTTGGGTTTCTTTATCATTACGATCGGACTTGACCACTCGCTTTTAGATGGTTCAATAATTCCTGCCGCTAACATTTTATCGACTTCCGCGTAGATCGCTTCCTAAATTTTTGACGAAACGGGGTAATACGGTTGTTTAATCGGAGTATGCCCGCCGACATCAATTTTATGTTCGGTTAAATTCCGGGGTCGCTCCCGGTTTATCCGGATCACCTACTATATGATCCTTCAAGAATTTAGCTAATTTTAGGCTTTCGCGCGACGACAACTCAACTAAACCGCAGCAGACAAACGGATTAGATTTCGACAGCCGAACTCGTTTGGTTTTGCGAACACGGGTTGTTCTCGCGATCGACAGACTATTTTCTCGCGGGCTGTTATCCGGCTTCGATTCCGCTACATTTGCGCTTCCGGACACGAACGAATCACCTGATTCGCGACTAACAGCATTCTCGACTAAATTTATGATAAACGGAATTTACTGGCTGATTCTCGAAACGATACACCTTGGCTGGTTCATCTTTAAAGTACCATTCTTGGAAAATTTACTATCATACCAAATAAGCTCAAAAAATCAAGTCCCAGTATGCATGGGATTGCTAACGACGGCAAAGCATACGCTTTTAACGAATTAGTCCTGCCACATAACGTAAAAGGAAGATCCACCTCCCCCCTAACGCATGTCGTTTGGCCGGTTGCCGTAACTACTCGTCGGCCATCCGACTTTCGAAATTTTAACTTCAAATTATTCACCAATTCGACAACAGATCCTAGAAAAGTGCGAGTCGAACCACAATCCACTAGAGCGCTAATCTCATTTCCTAATAAATTAACACGAATAAATAACATCGACGGAATGTCACGACAACCAAAGGCACTAAACGAAAATTCATGAGAACAATTAACGACACGAAAAGGGGGTTGGAGTTGAATAGGAGTCGGGTCCCCCCCATTATTCGACTCCTTTACTCTTTTCCCGAACAGTCGGGACACGTTCGTAACGTTATTTCCGCTCGACCGCAACGATAACAGTGCATTCGCGGAGCGGCTTTACAATTTTGCGAAATGTGACCTACGCTCACAATTCCAACACTTTCGCGTGGCATTTCGCAGAGCTGTCGAATCTGCGGCTGTCGCCCCTGATGACGACGAAGCCTCTTGTGCGGCCTCTGTCCCGGTCGCGGCTCGAGCTGCGCGGTTTTTGTTTCTCCTCTCCTTTCGCGAATTCGACTTTGACTCTGATTCCGCCTCCGATGTACTCAACGCGCAAGAGTTTCCCGGCCTCGCGAGGGCTGTTTCGTATTACGCAGCGCATGGTACGCGAGATCCGGAAACAATAACTTCTCCGGAGTCGGGGGTGTCCGATAACGTTGCGACAGCAAATAACTAGCTTCTACGCGAGTCGCTAAATCTTCTAAAGCGTCTAAGTTTCCCACCTCATTTCGACAGACGGACTGTTGTAAGCGTGGTAATAAATTCCGAAACGCACTGCTCAGATTCAGTCCACGGTGGCGACAACCGATCAAACATAGCTCGAAGACATGAAAGAAAATCAGCGACAGACTCATGTTCTCCCTGAGTTCTTCGCATAATTTCTTCGCGAAGAGCAAATTGAAAATCTGGGTCCCCGAATCGCGTTCTCCACGCATCTTTAAACGTGTTCCAATCCGACAGCCGATTGCGTTTACTACGGAACCAATAAAGTGCTATGCCGGTTAGAAAGAACGGTAAGCAACGTAAGAGGTCTTCGTCGGATACGGGAACTAGCTCGCGACCTTCCTCAATTCGAAGTAAGAAGGTTTCTGCATCCTGCCCTCGCGTACCCGAGAATTTAAGATTCCATTTACGCATGACATTATACGCCGTCATCACGGAATTTCCCGTGTATTCACGCGGAAAATCTCGTTCTCTCGAGCGCGGAGTATCGCGAGAGCCAGAGGGTACGGTGAATCTTGCCCGATCCATCGGGCTATCAGGTCGAGCTCTCGCATCCGTAGGGACTTCTAAAAGTTCCTCGTCCGACATTTTGTCTGTATTAAATTTTCTATCTTTGCGTACGCGACGCAGCAAACGCGCGGTCTGAATTGAATAACTTCCTTCCGTGGAAAGTTTACGCCGCTGTAATTCTTCTAATAATTGCTCGCGACTTAACACGAAAATCCAGTCGTCCTCTGGGTCGACTTGACTCATACGGTACAGAAAGAAAAACTCGAAACAAAATAAATAAGCTCGAACTCAGCGATACGTGGCCTGATCACCGCGATAATACAAGTCGATAGCTCAATAACACAAGATAAGGCCATTATTGTTCAAATAATCGAAGGTCGACAACAAATACGAAAAGGTCGGCAAAAGAAACCTTCGAACGAAAGCATTAACTACAAAAGAAATGAAAACACGACAGAAGAAGAGTGACTCTGAAATGATTCGGCAAATAATATAGCTCGCATAAGCTCCCCAAACTTTCTCCTAATTTCTCCTTTTCAACGCGTGCCTCTTTTTCAGGCGCTAAAATTTTCTTTTGTTGGCGACGTGGCCCCACGTTGGGCGCCAAATTTTTGCGACGTTTCTTCAATTCAATTTAAATGATTCGCGACACTCCTCGAGGTGTTGGAGGGGAGCGTGCGCGGAGGAGCGAAAACGCCGTCAAAAAAAAATAGCGAAATTAATGTACGCGCGCTCTGAGGAACAGGGGATGGAGGACGTTCTCGCGCGAGCCGCGGCGGAGCGGAGGCTGTTTCGATATCTCGATAGGTTGGGCGCCAGATGCGGTCTTTCACGCATCAGTTTTCCACGAAACTACAAAGAACGCGAGAAATAATAGCCTGCTTCTCTACCGCGATATTATCGCCATTCATTACAACATTTTAACGTTAAAAAACGTTTCATTGTGATTCCGTAAATTTCTAAACGCTTTAATATTTGGATTTGTATATCCGACTCCCATGGTTCTGGGCTTTTTTGTGCTTTGAGCGTTTCTCTGAGGTTTTCTTCGAACAGTTCTTTTCAGAGCTACTTTTAACCGTTCTTTTAGGACTGCTCTCAGAACAATACTACAGAAAATTCTATTATCTGTACTATTTTTGATCGTGAATCTTAGAATTTGATTTTGAATATGTCCAGTATATACGTTGATAGATGTTGCAATCCCTACAATGTGGAAGGTCACAGAGGGAAAGATCTTCGACGCATTTCGAGTGTTATCAAACGATTATTCCCAAAGTTTCCAGATAATGCTAAAATTTGTGCAGCATGTAGGAAAATGAAATATCCTCGCATGAATGAAGATACGCACGTCTCATCGAGTCTTGATAAAATGTTTGATAATTGTACTCATGATACTGAACAGAATATTTCTGTATCTTCCGGTGCATCTTCATTATCTTTCAGTGGAATTGAATGTAACATAAAATCACAAAGAGAGATTGAGTTGGAAGATATGTTGAGTGGATTGAAAGAAAAATTTTCCACTCTTGAAATTAATGATCCTTTGAGATTGACGATTTTGACTGTAGTACCAGATGCATGGAGTCTAAGTCAAATTTCTCGGGAATTCAACTGTTCTAGGTATTTTGCAAAAAAAGCTAGAGAATTGAAAGCATCTAAGGGCGTTTTAGCAGAAACAACTGCTAAGAATGGTAAACCATTGCCGGAAAGTACTGTTACACGAATTAAAGATTTTTACAATAGTGACGAAAATAGCAGAATCATGCCAGGTATGAAAGATATGGTTTCAGTAAAAAATGACGAGGGCAGAGATTTGATTCAGAAACGTTTTCTCCTTTTAGACTTAAGAGGTCTTTATGATATTTATAGTAAATGCCATCCTGACTGTCCAGTTAGTTTTAGTAAATTTGCCCAACTCCAACCAAAACATTGTATACTTGCTGGTGCGAATGGTACGCATTCGGTCTGTGTCTGTACGATACATCAAAATTGCAAATTGATGATTGACTCTGTTAATTTAAATAATCTTACTAAAGATTCCAATGTGATTTTACATGATTATAAAGATTGCTTACGCCAAATCGTGTACAAAAATCCTGATGAAAATTGTTATATTGATGAATGCAGTAAATGTCCTGGTATTATTGAACTAAAAAAACATTTGAAAGAACTCTTAGATGAGAAAGGTATTCACCACATACAGTTCAGTGTCTGGACAACAACTAACAGATCAACTCTTCAGACGCAAATTCTTCCGTCGTCGGAATTTGTTGATGAATTTTGTGACAAATTGATCATTCTAAAACCTCATTCTTTCATTGCAAACGAACAATCTCGATTCTATCAGGAAAGAAAAGAGAATTTAAAAAGAGGTGAAGTTCTTGCAGTATTAGATTTTTCTGAGAATTACAAGTATGTTGTGTAAGATGCATCGCAGGCGTTCCATTTTAATAATTCACAATGTACTGTCTTTCCTGTCGTGTGTTACTATAAAAAAGAGTTAGAACATAAAAGTTTTATTTTTTTGTCGGATAATACACTTCATGACACAGCTGCTGTATATACTGTACAAAAGATGCTGATTCCTGAATTGAAAATAATCATTCCTGAGCTAAGAAGAGTAATCTACTTTAGCGATGGGGCAAAACAGCATTTTAAAAATAAATATCAGATGATGAATCTAATGCATCACGAAGAGGATTTTGGTGTTGCAGCGGAATGGAACTATCATGCCACTGCACATGGTAAAGGTGCTTCAGACGGTGTAGGTGCTGTGTTCAAAAGGGAAGCTATGCGAGCTAGCCTCCTTAGTAAACCGAACGATCATTCTTTCATTCGAGAAACTTGTTGACTGGGCTCAAAAAAAATCTAAACGTATTAGTATACTGTCATATAATGACAAAGAGCACCAAAAGACAAAAAGATTTTTGAAAAAACGATTTGATGTAGCTCCACCAGTTCCAGAGATTCTGAGAAATCACTGTTTCGTCCTAATCAACAAAGAAATGGTGATTAAGAGATATTCCAATACTGGTAATAGTTCGACTTTTTCATATCAAGATTTCAAAAAGTAGGGGGTAAGAGCTCAGGCGACATCAGAATCAGAGGTATCTCTAGTATCAAGTTTTATAAAAATCTGTCAAATTCCTAAATTTTCAATATTTTTGGTGTTCATATTAGATCTGACATTTTCAGTTTTCGAAATCCGACTTAAGATTTGTATTTAGCTGGCCGTAAAACTCTCTGTTCAAATTTTATAAAACTCCCTTACTTTTTAAAATTTTTCAAATTCTTAGTTGCCATATTAGATCCGTCATTTTGAATTTTCGAAATGCGACTTCAGATTCGTTATTAGTAACCCGAAAAAGTCCCTGATACCAAGTAAAAAGTCGTTAATTTCTAGAAAATACATAGTTATTTTTAAGAAAAAATATGTAATTTGCAATTACATATTTTTTCTTTGAAACAACTATGTGTTTTTTTTACACCAATTGATTTCTCTCATTATTTTGTACATAAAAGTATTAAAGCAAGATAATCGAAAAATGAATATTTTACTAGATATTTTACGGTTTATACAAAATTAAGAAATGATTTCAAGCCTCATCACTCGAAAAGTACGCAATGAAGAAATACTTTATTATAGTGTTTTGGAAAGCTCTCGAGATAAGCTACACGAATATGTAATAAAAAATAGGGAGTTCCATTTAAGAAATTGAAGGTTACCTTTACGTCATCTTCAAATGACTCTCCAAGATCAAACCATTGCCACTATCTGATGACCCCCTTCAAGCCATACAACTTTTATCTGAAACATTTTTTTGATTTTTCATTATTTTCCAAAATATTTGAGTGGATCACTTAAAATGGCCCACCCTGTATATATATACATATATGTAAATATATATGTATATATATATATATACATATATATATACATATATATATACGAGGGTAGTTCGAAAAGTTCTCGGCCTAATATAGAGATGTTGCTAAGAATATCAAATGGCTATGATTTTTCTCAAGTTTAATCCCTCAGAGGGCGTACCGCACAGTTTCAGACAGATTCGTTCGCTAGTTTGTTTACTGTGCTCGAGTAAAACAGACAAGATTTGATACTTCTCCAAAAATGGATAAAATTGAATATCGCGCAGTCATAAAATATTTCGTTTTAAAAGGATTAACGGCAACAGAAATAAAAAACGAGCTGGATTCCACTTTGGGAGACTCTTCTCCATCATTTTCAACAGTGAAGAAATGGGCTGCTGAATTTAAACGTGGCCGTTCATCCATCTTTGACGATGAACGTTCGGGTCGCCCGAAAACCGCCACGAATAAGGAAATCATTCAAAAAATCCACGATAGCGT